GACCCTCCCCGCGCTCCCGGGGCCGCCCCGGGGGGCCCTGCTTCCCCCGCCCCCAAGTGGGAACCGAGGGGTCGCGAAGCCCTGCGCCCCTCGCCTGCTTGGAAATGCCCGCGGGGCCAACCCGGGAGGGGGCGTTTCCTCCTGGAAAGAGGCACCAAAACGACCTCATTTGCTCTGGGCACCGGGACCGGACCCCCCTGAGCCCCTTCGCTTGGCTCTTCGAACCCCGGGCTTTGGGGGGTTGTGCGTGGGTCTCTCCCGAGGAGATAAAACTGTCTCGAGTGTCACCTGGCGGCCGCGCACCTGGGATGGGGGGTCGGGGGAGATGGGGAGCAACTGAGGGTCCCACAGGCGGGGTCTGGAATGAAGCTTCCAGTGCTCGCTGTCTGGGCGCTGACGGCTTCGGGGGCGCCTCCCCCGAGCCCAGGGGAACCCACGCGCGAGAGGGTTTCCGCGGCCGCTCTGTGGTTCTGACTTCAGTTCAGCTCCACTCACAAGAGGGGACGCGGCCAAACAGGACGCCCTGGGAAGCGAAGGTTGCACGTCTAGCCCGCGGGTGACAGTTCCCCCTCCTGCGTGGAAGTCGGGGCACGAGGCACAGGCCCCACGTCCGGGACGGGAGTGGCTCCCGGCGCCCCCCGTCCCCCCCCATCCTACTCTCTCCCTCTCCCCTCCTCGTTCTCTGCGCCTCTGTCGCTTGGTTCCCAGGGCAGCTTACAGCCAGGTCTCCCTGGGCGGCTGTGAAGGGTTCCCGGCTGATAGCGGGGCGCTTCCTTGGGGGGGGGGCAGGCGCCCCCAGCTGCTTTTCTCCCGGGATCTCTCTCTCCTGGGGAAGCCCAGCCATCCGGGAAAGAAAGAGCCCTTACATTCGGGCCGGGATGCAAGTGGTCCCTACAGAATAGGGGGACTTCCCCAAAATAGGGAGAAGAAATCCCCCCTTACCCTCACATACACCCCAGTTCCCAGAGAGGCAGTTTCCCCGCCCACCCCTTTCTCTAGCAGCAAACTCCCTGCCCTGGTGTCCGGTGTGGGGACAGGCTCGCGGCCAGCTGAGCGACACAGCTCTGGGTCCCCTTCCTCTCTGGAGATGGGATTTGTGCTCAGTGCAGAATATTATATATAGTGTGAAAATAAAAGCCTCAGGCACCAATCTCTGTTCCCAGTTCTGTGCTTTCCTTGCCTTTTCTCATCTGTGCTCCCCGAGAGCAAGTCACTTCTGTCACCCGTCAATTCATACGTCCCTCTCGCTGAAAGAAACCCGGTGAAGTTTATGGTGTTTTAAGTTGGACCATACGGTTCTCCAGGCTCCGTAGCACTGAACTGTTTCAAAGGCCGTGGCTGTTTGGGCGTCTCTGGTTTGTGGAAAGAATGAAGACTTGCTTTTTTAAGTCTTTTTCTGGGGACAGTGGCCCAGCTTCACTGTGGCTGATCCATCGCTGTGGCCAGCGGCCATGGCCTGGAGCTCCGGACAAGCCGTCCCCTGAACTGCAGGGGACACAGTGGACTTTGGGGGCTGGAAGGAAGGCTCAAGACCAAACCCACCCTCCCCAGGCTGTCGGGGCCCCCGAGCCACCGGCTTTATCACACAGGACAGTGTAAGTTTTCGTGACAGGTGTTCACACATTAAAAACAAATAAACAAGCTGGCGACAGGCCCATGTTTGAGATAAGTGACATTTCTCCTGGAAACTTAGGGCCAGGGCTCCGGTCTCTGGGGCTAAAGGCTGCAGAGGAGAAATCTGGGTCCCTGGGTCCCTGATGTGTGTGTTGGGGGGGGGGGTTGAGCGTTTT